TTTATACAATTGAAAACCCATTTACTACGTACAATTTTGAAGTGACGTCATCGCATTAGTGGTGGGGATGATTAGACAAATTTTGGTTAGCGTTTTACCATCTACATGATATTCTTAATATAAGTACAAAATTTCACAACAATCGGTCGAGTACTTTCGGAGATTATCTGTCTAATAAAAATCCGGGACGGCAGACGGACAGACGGACAGACGGACAGACAGACGGAAATGGGAGACCTGTTTCTTCGTCTTCTAGGGGTCATGAAAGATCGAGAAAACGTAAAAGTAGAGAGTCGGCCGACGGACTCGATTACAATACTTCCTTTGCTTACGCTCGGGAAGTAAAAATCGTGTAGATGGTAAAACGATAACCAAAATTTGTCTGATCACCCACACTGTTACTTTAATGGTATCTGCCCAAAATTTGGAGTTATAAAGCCTATTTAAATTTTATATAGTATTCTACTCCTGTACTTGTGGTTTATGAATCCATCATGATTATGTTTATCATTGTTATAATTTTTGTGTTGTAAGAGACTCAGCTACAAAAATAAAAGGCACAGATTCGAATTCGATTCTCGGCATTCCCAAATGTTTTTTTATCGATTAAATCAAGAACGGTTCACCATATTTTCCAGCAAATTTTAGAATACAGTACTGTTATTATTAATGTTATATTGCTTCTAATCAAATTGATTACTTGACTTACTTCTTTTTTTGTATTCAAAGAATTACGTAAGTTCCCAAACAAGCATAAATAATCGTAAATAGTGACTGTCTGTCGTCTCCGCTTCTTTTTGTTCTGAGTTTATGATGTTTTAGAATAATTAATTTATATCAGTGCAGAATTGGGTCCTCGAACATCTTCATAGCGCGAGAGGCTTGGTGAGTGACATTTTATTTAGAATTGCTTATACAGGCTGACTCAAAACAATATTCTATTGATCTCTATTTATTTTTGATATTTTATGGATCAAATCAAGAACGGCTCTTTTTATTTTCCCGAAATTTTGAAAATTCAGTATTGTTATTATTAGCTGTTGGTACTTATCAATAAATATTTATGTCATCATTTTTCAGATGCCTGAATAATTTTTAGTCAGAATTTTGCAATTCCAACAAAATATTAAATTGTTACCAGAATTCTTTTCAACATCTGCAAATAAAAGTATAGGTATTTAAAATTTTGAAAGTGAGTTTACTAGTTCGAGGATATATGTCCCATAAAATCACCAATAAATGACGAAACTTGCATTTTTGTGTTTTGTGAATAAGATAGAAAATCCAGAATGTTTCCCCTAGTTGTTGCTCAACAACTAAAAGCGTCCAATACAGCAATGAATGAACAATTTCCTCGTTTACTTTTTCACAACAATGTAAAATGTAAAAGCAAGTTAACTTCCTGCCAAAAAAAACATCGATATCAAATTTTCAAAAATAACTTAAACGCCAATAAACGCTTTCTGAGATGTTCGATTTTTCCCCAAGCTTGCATTATTAATAATAACAGAAACTTGTGAATGTAAAGTGCGACCAAACAGCTACAAACGGGCATTTTTTGCACTGTCTGCCTTGGCACTAAGCCTAGACATCGACAGTTCCAGCCAAATAACGGCTATACGTTATATCGTTACGTTTTTCCTCAACGAAATTGCGTGGAAAAGTTGCTCGAAATAATATCATCCACTTATCACAAGAATAATTTAAGAAAGTGCGCGAAATTCCTTGCTTTTAGAGCTGGAAAAAAATGAGACTTGGTAAAGATATATAAATTATGCATTATGTTGCCGAATAAGATCGTGTAAGTTTAGAGGGAGTGTGGAATTGAGGGATGTAACAAAATTTATTGCCTTTCAGAATAAAATTGAACGTAAAAATGAAACAGGTGGTGGCAACAGGAACAATACCGTTGACAAACAACTGCTGAATATTATTTGTGGAAAGTCTCTCTTTATGATGAAATTTTGTACGGACGTCGAATTGGGTTTAAAGTAGGCGTTGGAGTTTTTTTTTTTGTTTTTGGAGGGTGTTTTTTAATGAAATAGTAATTGTTCAGTTGAAAATTCCCGATGCAATTTTAATTGTTTTGAAGTGAGCTAAATCGGGGATATGAAACAGATTTAGACCGGACTGCTCGTTGTGAAGGTTTTTTTCCATTCAATTGTTTTCACTTTCATAAAGGTTACACATTTTTATGTACATTGTAGCAATATTTTCTCTGTGATATTTCTAGAAAATATAATTTCTTAATTTTTTGGTGTCTCTAAAACTTCAAAGCGAGCGGATAGTTTAACGAAAAAATAATTATTAGCCCCAGGTGAGCAATAATATTATCTACACTGTCAGATTTTTTTAAGCCAAAATACGTTATAATTTTGGCTCAAAGAGAAAAATAAGTTTTTCTGTTTTTATTTTTTATTAAAAAAACGGAAGTCTTTAATGCAATATAAAAACTATTTCCATGAAGATTTTTGTATCACGAACAAATAGATATGTCGCACAAGTCTTCAAGTGCTATAGTAAGGATGATATTGGAAGTGGCGTTTTGCCGTATTTCGGCAGATTTTAATGACTGTAAGGAAGAGCCTTAAGAGGAGTCGCTACGTTTGGCTCTTATGGTGTTGTCAATATATTTTCAGAATGTAATATCTCCATTATTGTTATGAAATTTTAAATGTAAGTTTTTTTTTGAGAGTTTATTATATATTTTTTAAATTTTGTTGAAATTTTTGCATCACGTATTTAAAAAAATAAATATTTCAATTATTTATGGAAATTTTGGAACACGGTTTCCACCACTGTTTTCAGCTTATAAAACTTTAGAAATTTCACTAAAATAAAAAAAAGAATGACTACAAACTGTTTTTAATAAAACTGGCCTAGCGTTATATAAAGAAAGTTATGGACAGCTTTTACTTAAATTTTCACAACCATAAGTGTATTAATAATGGAGATATTCCATTCTGACAATGTGCTGAAAATTTAATGCAGAAAACGTAGCGACTGGCCTCAAAATCTTACTGTTTTTTACCTCTTCTTTAGAGCAGATAAAAAAGCTTGTAGTAAAATGCTAATTTAACTGAAATTTAGACTTCTGTTTTTTTGTATTGTCAGATAATCTGTTGGAATTGGAATTGGCCTTTTTAATAGATTAAATTTTCTTTGTTTCTGATCTAGATATTTATTGCATCTGCAACTTTCTGAATATTTATATTTGAAACTATAACTCCTACATAATTTTTGCAAATTTAAAATGAAAGACGACAGACAATAGGCAGACACATGGAAACGGGAGACTTATTTTTTATACTCTAAGGGTTATGAAACGTCAAGAAAATATGAAGTTATGCTTTCAATCTGGTATATTTTCCACTTTATCTCTGCTACACTGGTCTGCTAATATTTTAAATTGTGATGTTATATTCTTAGCTTTTTTTTCCGAGCGTAAGCTAAGAAAGCTTTGTAATAAGGTCCATTCGTTGAACGACTATTTTCATATTTTTTCGACGTTTCATGACCCCTAGAGAAAGAAAAAAGTAAATTTCTCCTTTGTCTGTCGATCGTTTGTTGCTGTGTCGATTTTTATTAGACAGATAATCTTCGAATTATATGTAGAGAAAGTTAACGAAATCGATAACAATCCCGTTATGTTACAAAATGGTTTTTATTCTGTTCACAGAAGGTGTCGAAATTGTCATGAGCAAAACGGTGGTCACTTCCAACATTTTCTATAGAAGTTATTGTTACGAAAAATAAACGTTAATTTCGCACTAAAACTGCCCTGTGTAATGGCATTGTTTTAATGACATTTAACATAACCTAACATTCACGAAGTCCTACGTTCACATTTCTAAAGCCAGTTTGACGTTTTTATTTGGACTCTCGTTATATAGTTATTTTACACATTTTAAAATGGGATTTAGGTACTTAGCAAACTTTTACGATGATGTCATCAAAACTTTAGTGGGGGTGGATTGCCAAATGTAGCTGTTAAAATGTGTCGTCAAATTTCGTTATAATTTTTGTTTTTTTTTTTAAATCTGTATGTGCAGGGTTAAAAATATGTGTTGATTAAACGCAAATGTAGATGCATAAGATCTTGCATATTTAGACAGACTTTGTCTATCAAGATTTCACATGACGTTAACAGGTCTCGGGTGAGATTTAATATTTGTATGATAATTTTAAAGTGTTTAAAAGGTTTCAGAGCAGGTTTTGTATTCTCTAAAATAAATTTTCAGGCCTTATTTTACAATTTTAGATTTCCAAGCCAAAACCACAAATATAGAAGTATATTATTTTTTTAATTTAAGTACCATTTATCTAGCAAAATTTAATATTTTGAGATGAAATTGTTGATGGGTTGACCTAGAGTTTGTGACTTAGTCCCGATATTAAAATTCGTAACTTTTTAACAAGATCTCAGTCCGGATTCTTAATGAATCTAAATTGTTTATCTTCTACAGATTTTTTAGAAAATGTTTTATCGTTAACAATGTACTTACTTAGAAAAACGTATCGTGGTATTATTTTTGAAAATAAGATAATTAAAATGTGGATAAACGGGTGTGGATATAATCCAGATGAAAGAAAAAAAACACGTATTCAGATGCGCAAAATATAGTTTAGATTTTAAACATCTACACGATAGTTAAAGTACGCCCACAATTCTATAGCAGTCGGTCTAATAATTTGCCAATAGATATACACAACCTATGTTCTCATATTAGGCATATGAAATGTTTTGAAACATAAGAAAACATTAAATTAGCTCTAGCTCACGCTTGGGAAGTATAAATTGAACAATGTTGTAACTAATTTACACAAAGTGATTGTATTGGAAGTCTTAGTTTATTACTAACATTAAGTCCCGCTGTGCTTTAATTTTTTAAAAAACTTAGCTCCCAGATGCTCCCCCCATTAACTGAACGAATACCACTTTTAGATTATGTTTCGAAACGTCAAAATAATCAGTAGGTGGTATCATATTAGCGTATTACCTGAAAACCTTCAGCCTCCGAGAGTAGAAAATAAAAGCATCCAAACCAATGCGCTAAAATGAGTAGTATATGTATCAAGTTGACGACTCGCCACAGATTCGGCCACACCGTCCTCGACTCCACCATGTAGTAATAATTAACCGCACGATAGACCTTGAGGAATCTAGGACACCTGAGCAACGGTTGAGGTCCTAATCTGATCTGCAATAAATCGAGGGGACAAAGAGCGGCCAGGTCCAAAAGAAAGGCACGTGAGCGCAAATAATGGCACGCCAACTTCTTGGAGTCGTACACCATGAGGCCCTGCTCCAAATAGCCGGTCCTCAGTTGCACCACAAGATCCAGAAGGAACACCAGATCGCTCAGGGAATCACAGCTTAGCCAAAAGTTCGAGACCATGTTCTGGAGCTCGGGGAAACTCTGTCGAACTATCAGAGTCCACATGTTGTAAAGCACACAAACGGTCAACACCAGCAGCCAGTAGAAGTAGAAATTCTCGTCGGGGTTGACCACGGTGCGGGGCTGCTTGCGCTGGCGGCGGCGGCGGCGAGGGGCCGATTGGTTGTCGCCTCCGGGACCTTCGCTGCCGGTGTCTTCGACGGTTTCCTGGGTCTCGGGGATCTGACGCGAAGAGAAGCGCTTAAGGAAGGAGTCTTCACGCTTCAGAGGCGGTTTCTATCGAAACAGACAGAACAGATATGATTAACATTATTATTACGACTATTTGAAACAAGATCGGTAAGGTAGACTGATAATAAGTTTCCCTTCACAACTATTATGACCAAACTCGTGTAAAATTCTGACGCGTTTTGCCAACAGTATTGGTAACACCAACAATAAAATCTACAATCTAAAACAACAGTTTTACATATATGGCCATAATATACAGGGTGCTCATAACATAGCGCACCATCTCAATAGTGGTTATCAAGTTACAAGTCTAAGTTGGAGAAAAATCATTAAAAAATTTCTTACATCAATTTGACTTTCATTTACAAAAACAAAATAGGGATTTATATTGAGGGATCAAACAACGTAAAAAATTAGTCACTGTTGTCGTATTCATCCTATACATTTTTTAAGTTTTTTGTTATATGTTATAAAATGAAGAAAATGATGGACAAAGACAAGATATCTCCAAAATTATTTTTTAAAATAGTGAATTAAAATATGAAGTAACGAAAAAAAAAAACTTCGAAAAGCTGTATCTTCTACATTTGGGTCCAAGGATTGTTTAAATTATTTTTTCCCTACCCCATAAATAGTCCTGATCCAGAATAATGTGTCATAAAGTTAGTGCGCAATTTTTGAGCACCCTGTCTAGAGGTTCTAAGCAGGCATAATTTTTTAGTAAACAGTAGGTTACACAAAAGTAAAGTAAAACAAAAAAATCATGATGGTAATTTGATCCCGGCTATTGTTTTGTACTTGAATGAACTAATTAATGCAAAATATGTTTGGAATTTTTTATTAACTTGCTATAATGGAACGTATTTGATGAACTAAAAAATTGTTTCCATTAGTCCCCTTTCATTTGGTTGGAAAAATCTGTAAATGTGGACCGACCGAGAAAAAATGATACAAGTAAAATAATGAATAAAATTTTGAATCTCAAAAAAAATGTTGGAACAATTTCCTGCAAATCTGTCATCCAGCAAAATCAATAAACACAATTCAAAGTTTGTCGAAATACTTTTTTGATGGTATGTATTTTATTTCAAAACCTGCATAATGTTTATCATAATTCGTTAAATGGACCTATGACATAACGTTTAATATTTTTTGTTACAAATTCTGAAGTATTATATTTTATAAATTGACCATTTTTCAAAAAAAAATCATTATAATTTATAGTTTACTCATGAACAAATCGTGTATGCAAACATTTGGAATAAGGAACAATATTTTTTTTCAACAAAAGTTTTTTTTCAAAATTTTATTGAATATTTCTTTATGTTTCTGCTTAGGAAAAAGTTAAGGTAGTTAGGTCCATTTACTAGAACTAAAAAAACTCCAAACGGAAAATCAAAACGAAATTAAAAGAAATTTATGCCAATAAAATTTCCATCTGTTTATCTTTGATGTTTTCCAACCAAAATAAATTTTCCTAAACGTTATAAAAATAAAGAAGATAAAAATCCGATGAGAAATTTCGGTGTAAGATTAAGTTTTCCGTTCAATTACCTTCTGCATTGCAGACGAAATTTGCACCGTCGTCCTCAATTTCATCCATCGTTGGTTGGATTTCGTCCTGGAAGGGAGCGAAAAAGGATCAGCGATTGATGCGACATAAACATGGTGTAAACACAATGCAGAAAATCGGATTGAAAACATTCAGAATAGACTTACTTTTACTGATAAATAAGACACCGATTTACTCAGAACAGAAATGAAGTGAATAACTATCTCTCTATCGTACAAGTTGTATTTTGCAACCTAAAGAATGCTCAAAAAACAACAGGCATAATGAGGAGCGGCTTCAAGGGTGGACCTAGCCCTCCTTGAAATCACCCGTGTGTGACGACGACGATTCACTAACAAAACATGCAAAATACAACTCTAAAACTTCTACTAGAAAGTCGGTGGGGGGGTGTGAGCCCCTGGCCCACCGAACACCGATTATAATAATAAAGAGACAGTCTAGAGAATTACAGCTCCTACAGAGTCTGCAAGGGAGATGAGACCACCAAACATCGAATAGAATCAACTGTAGGAAAGAATTACAAAATTGCACAGTGTTAGGAATGAACCTCTTGATTTTGCGTAGGGAGTGGTAGTACGCCATAACGGCTTTGAGGTTCTTCCAGCTCTGGGATGCCGCTTTTCCGCCCTCATGATGGTGATGGTCGTCTTTGTCCTTCTTGCTTCTGCAAACATCATCGTCTACTCTAGATTTCTAGTGGTTACATTCATGGTGCGAAAAGAGCTCGATAGGGTGCAAGGAAACATAAGCATTTCCGATGCAAGAGTGTACAAACTCCAATTATAAATTTATTTATTTAATTCGTAAGTGGTACGCCAAAAAACCTCGTCTTATTAATAAAAGTCATACTTTGTACCACGACCGGTTGTCTAGTTTAACACTACTTACCGCACTGCGCATTTGTCAAAAATAAATTGGATATTATGGGTCCTTTGATTATGGTGTAAACTGGTGACTCCTGGCCGCATATTGATTACACTGCAGTTTTTCTAGTAATCTTATCAATAATTTAATATAAATACCGGAAACCAATACATGCTGTGCACGTGCATTTTAAAAATTACATATGGAATTTGATTGAATGTAAATATGTTGAATATTTTCAATAATTTTGATTTATCGTTTCAGTAAAACTGTTCGCTGAAAATATTAAATATTTGTAATTCACGAACACTTTTTTGTTGCGAAATAAATGTCGATCGAGATAATATAAAATGTGGAAACAAACGTTTATATTTAAACAAAAACTTGCAAATTTTATCTTGTACGTGATTAAGGGTTGTGTTAATTTTAAGGTTGAATACTTTAAATTTTAGCGCTACGTCAATTGCATTTTTATTAATTTAGAATATAAAACTGACGTCTGTAAAATATTAGTAGTTGCTTACTTTGTATTGAATTTTACTACTAACTACAACTTGGAAAAAGTAGTTTCTCAACCGCAACTACGAACCAGGAATTGGTAATTAATTACAAAAGTTGTTAGAGATAGAAAAAATGTCACGGATTTAAGTTATAGAGTAGCATACATTAAAATTATTAGTTTCAACTGTACAGAATGTTTTGTTTTTGAGGCATAGCAAACGAATTAGTTTTTGAAATAGAACTCCCTATATATTTTTAAATTTTATCCTTAGCTGCTTTCTAGGCTTTATAACCATAATTTATTTTTGCAATTCCTATGCGACGTTGCCACGTTTTTTCAATTTTCTTGAATTTTTTACCAATGCAGGAGTTCACAAAAAAATCGCAATAATGTTATTTTTAAGATATTTGTTTATAAAAAAATGTTGGTTCCGATTGTCAAATATCAACATTTCGGATTTTTCAAATGGAACACATGTGCTTTATTACTGCATCTTACTCTATTTTTTATTTTCTTTCTCTCAATATGTCGGTGTCTCTCTAAAAAAGTAAACAATGGCAGTAACTATCAACTTGAAATATAGAAAATACGTCCACTCCTAAAAAAATTCAAGAAAATTGGAATAACTGGCAACATCAAATGGGAAATTTTAAAAATTAACTGTGGTTATAAAAAGACGAATTTTGGGAAAAATATCCTCTAAGTATATTTTTTTATAGGATCGTCCAATTTTCAGGTCCGTAGGACCATTTTTGTGGCTTGCGGATGAAGACAAAAAAAGGAGTTGCTAGTGATCACTGATCACACACTTACCAACTATTTTTGTTCCAAATAGTAGTTAGTAGTTGGAAAAAATTCAATTATTAACTATTGGTTGAAAAAGTAGTACATTTTTTAACTACACGTAGATCGCAGTTGTAACTACATTTTGCCCAAGAAATGTAGGGAGGCTTAATTTTAGCTTCCACACATCAATCATTAGCAAAGTTCTATAAGTACCGTTTTCTTAAATGTATTAACTGGACTAGAAAGTAAAAAGAGTAACGAACATCTACTGTTTAAACCTTTCTAACGAAAGCCTCCTTCATCCCCTTTGCTAAAAATCCACGTTTCGTCTAAAAAAAATTGCTTGTTGAGGTCGCAAAATAAATTTCTCAAAGTTTGTCTTTTCGATACAGTACGGACATTTTACGTGGTGATTTTCTGTTATTGGTTTGCCTATACTCAAAATCCAAATTCTTCACTACATTTAAAATTTGGTTCTGTTTCAAAACGGTCTCATTTTTTATATAGCGTACCTTGTGTTTAATGCCTGGAGTTAATGTTTGACTCAATTTTTACTTCCCGAGCGTAAGCAAAGGAAGCATTGTAATCGAGTCCGTCGGCAGTCTCTCTACTTTTACGTTTTCTCGATCTTTCATGACCCCTAGAAGACGAGGAAATAGGTCTCCCATTTCCGTCTGTCTGTCCGTCTGTCTGTCCGTCTGTCCGTCTGTCCGTCTGTCGGCCGTCCCCGATTTTTATTAGACAGATAATATCCGAAAGTACTGGACCGATTGTTGTAAAATTTTGTACTTGTATTAGGAATATCATGTAGATGGTAAAACGCTAACCAAAATTTGACTAATCATCCCTACCACTAATGCGATGACGTCACTTCAAAATTGTACATAATAAATGGGTCTTAAATTGTATAAAATAACATAGTCCTACACATGTAGTTTACGAATTGAGTTTTTACTCGAAACGTCCAGATTTTTGGAAAAAAAAACCAAAATTATAAAACAACATTTTCCTATCTAAAATGTACAAAATATGATGCGTCTGTACTTGTGATATATCACTCCATTCATATTTTTTGTATTTGCATATAGAGGGTGACTCAAAAAGATTAATGAACGCGCAAAATTAATTTTACTGATTTACTCAGGAACTACAAAACCGAATGCTTTGAAATCTTGAAGATGTTTTAAAATTATCATAAGCATGGTAAATTTTTGATCAAAATATATTTGGTCGTCCCCCCTAAAAAATTTATGACGTCACCACAAAATTTTGCTGAATAGATCCTACCTAAAATGTACAAGATATGATCAGTCTGTACTTGTGATTTATCATTCCATTCATATTTTTGGATTTGTATATACAGAGTGACTCAAAAAAATTAATGAATGCGTGAATTTATTTTATCGATTTAATCAGGAATTACAAAACCGAATGCTTTGAAATCTTGGAGATATTTTAAAGTTATCATAAGCATGGTAAACTTTTGTTCAAAATGTATTTGTTCATCCCCATCTAAAATGTGAAAAATATGATGAGTTTGTACTTGTGATTCATCATTCCATTCATATTTTTTAAATTTGCTTAATGAAGTCAATTTATTTTATTGATTAAATTAAAGGCAACACTTATTATTAGAATTACATTGGACCAATCCAATTTGGTAGACACAAAATTTTGTAAAGTAAAAACTCGTTTGAAACATAAGCATAGCACGCTTACTCGTATTTACATTTACTTTAACATTACAGACGTGCATTTGTTTTGTGCGCTGACTAGGTTCCGCGAATGTGGTATGGACATGTTTATAATCAACCAATTGTGAATTCCACAGTCAAAAATTAAAATAAAACCCAATGTTTTATATAATAAGCGGAAGTCGAAGCAATAAAAATCTCTAGACGACCATCGGTTTTGTTTACAGTTTCTTTGTTTGACTCTCACGTATGCTATGTTACGCTTGTCGTCTTAAATTAAGAATGCTTATACATTAACGATTTTCAGTTGTCTCTCCTAGTACACGCCGGCGCCGTATACGTGAGTAAATTGTTTCGTTATTTTATTGATTATTACAAATCAATATTCAAAACGACCCAATTCATTTTCCCGAAAATTTGGAAATACAATAATTTTATTCTTAGTATTACACTACATCTATCCCAACTGATATACGTGTCCTTGCAAAAATGTTGATGAAGTCATCGCAATTTTTTTTTAAATTCCCACTACAAAAATGTAATGAGAAAAAAAACACAATAGGCATGCAGTCGTCAAGTTTCCAACAGTGAGGGAAGTACTCTTTAGACCAATTTTCTGTTGTTTTATTAACTGATCTTATAACAATAAATTCAATACACACATTTATAAATATAAAACAGTTTTCCAAACTTATCGGCAGCTTGATAATGTTAAAAATTGAGGAGGTTGGCTTTCCTTGAAAATATTGTATTCGACACAGGTATCAGTTTAGCATGAGAGCTAATTTTGTTAGAAAGCTTTAAGTAGAAGGGGTTCACTACTCGTTTTACTTTCTAGTTCGATCGACAAAGCGGCACTCAATACTATAGAACTGGAATGATCGGTGTCTAAACGCTGAAATTCCACTTTCGTTCTAAGCTAGCGGATCTTTTGAATAAGTAGGTATATTAGTTGATGTCAAGAAGGGTCAAAGTTAGTTTGCTGTACTATAATTTAGAAGAGCTTTTGTTTATGGTTTTACTGAAGTAATTAGAAACTTCTTCGTATTAAAATTTGCTGTCCAAACAATTTTTAACATTGTGTGTCCTTATTCAACAGTCGAACACAACATTGTTTCACTTAGCGAATTGAGTTTTATACACTACGACCTTAGTTTACATTAATATTGTGTTGTATCGCTTTTCTTTTTCTTATCTGATGA